GCACCGCAGCCGCGGCGAGGAGGAGGAGGAGGAGGAGGAAGAGGTGGAGAAGGGGGAGGAGGAGGGGGAAGAGGAGGAGGAGGAGAGCCGGGGCCGGGGAAGTTTTGCATGAAGAGGAGCTGGGAAGCCCGCCGCCGGCTTTGCCAGCCTCTTAAAGCACTAGCGCAGCTCGGGGACCCCCGCCCCGGCGGCCCCCCGGCTCCTGGCGGAARGGTCCCCCCGCCAGGCTGCCGAGGGTCTCCGGCTCCCTGCAGTGACAGCCACCCTCAAATTCCCTTTCCCAGGTGGGAGCAGCCCCCGCAAGCAGCGACACGGAAGGATGCTCGCCACCCCAAGCCGTTGCCCTTCTCTTCTCCCTCCCACGAAACGATGCCAACCCCCCGCCCCGCGGAGCTCGGCTCCCGCATCGCCCGCTTTCCCCACCAACCCCCCCTCGCCAGGCCCCGCGGCTCCGAGGAGCCCGTGGTGCTGTGTCGATTCATTAATCCAGAGAAAACACAACCCCCCGGTAATGGCCATTGACACATTAACTGCCGCGATCCATCACGGTAATGACACGGCGGTGATTGCTCGGTCACCGGAGCGATTAGGGCACACCCCGGCGCTCACCTGCGGGTATGAGGGGCTGCCAGAGCTCCCAGCCCCTCCTGGGGGGACCCATCCGCGCACTCAAAGCGGGGGCTGGCTGCGGGGAGGGCTCTGTGCCCCTCCCGACACCAAARAACCAAGCACGGACCATAAACGCACAATTCCAGCCTCATCTTCCCTAACGGCGAAATTCCAGCCCTGCTGAGGGTCAGCCAGGACTCGGGTGGGCTGGTTGCCCCTGGAAATGGGCAAATCACCCAAATCCTGGACAGGAGGCTGGAGAGGTGTTTCCAGAAGCACTCGGGATTGCCCGACTCCAGCACAACRCCCYGGSCTGGGCCTGTCRAAGAGTTTTGGGCTCTCCAGTGAGRCRCATCTCCCAAAAAGCTGCCCAGGCACCCTCCAGCCATGGAATACGTGCAGCATTCCCGCGGATCCCAGTGCTCACGGGATGCTGCCCAGAGCCTGCAGAGYGACCAGGCTGATGCAGTGATTCCATTCACAGCGAGTGGCTGTTGTTACTGTGCTCCAGAGGGGCAGGGGAGAGCAGCCCGGGGGGCACAGCCCCACAGAGCCCCCACCCCTGTGAGCATCCTCGGCCATGGCAGCGCTGACACCGGGAATCGCAGCAAAAGGAAATCTGCGCTGTGGTGGACAGGGAGGGGACACAAAAACCGAGCCCCTGGGAGGACAGGACCCCCTGGCTGCCCCAAGCCAGGGCTGAGGGGACTCCAGAAAACACAGGATAAGCCAGGCTCAAATCCCTTGCCAAAAGTAGCTTTTAGAGGCACCCTAAGGTCAAGATTCCTGCTCTGAGTCGGGTGAAGCCCTCAGCTCTGAGGGATTTCTAAGACACGTGTTTGCCTTCAAGGAGAAACAAGGGTGTTCTGCTCACAGCCTGGGGTGTCACAGCACCCGRCCATGAGGACACCAGGCCACCCTGCTCTGCTCTGCCCAGGTGCCAAAGAATCCCTGGGGGAAGGTGTTTGAGGTAAATGATGGAGAATTTTGGCCAAAGTGCTGCCTGAGCCGCTCCAGCAGCCACCTTATTCAGGGGTGCCTCAGTGCTGCCCTGGCTCTGATTGAAAATCACAATCCAATGAAAATCCGATTGAAAATCACAATCCAACCCCTCCAAAGCTGGGGGAAGAGGTCTGGGATAATTGATGGAGAATTTAGGCCAAAACATGGCCTGAGCCGTTCCAGCAGCCGCCTCATTCAGGAGTTCTTCAGTGCTGCCYTGGCTCYGATTGAAAATCACAATCCAATGAAAAYCACAATCCAATGAAAATCACAATCCAACCCCCCAAAACTGGGAGAAGGTTTGGGATAAATGATGGAGAATTTCAGCTGAAGCACTGCCTGAGCTGCTCCAATAGCTGGCTCGTTCAGGGGTGCCTCAGTGCTGCCCTGGCTCCGGTTGAAAAATCACAATCCAATGAAAATCCAATTGAAAATCACAATCCAACCCCCCAAAAACTGGGGAAAGGGGTTTGGCATAAATTATGGAAAATTTCAGCTGAAGCACCACCTCAGTTCAGGAGTGCCTCAGTGCTGCCCTGGCTCTGATTGAAAATCACAATCCAATGAAAATCACAATCCAATGAAAATCACAATCCAACCCCCCCAAAGCCTCGGGAGCCTGAATCGCAGGGATTGCAGGATTCTCTTCCCATCATGGCTGAGCTGGCAGTGCCTCCCCTCTCCTCTCGGAGCCTCACGGACTGCACGTCTCCCCTCCTCACACCCCTGTGCCAGCCRTCAGCCAGAACCCAAAATACCATCGCAGCGCTCGTGTCACCGTCGGGAACGTCAAAAGCCAATTAACATTTGGAAATCCAGCTGAGGCCGATGCTTCCCCCGGCACAACGGAAAGGCCACCACGTGGGCGGCTGAGAGGGTGGTGGGAGGGATGGGAAACACCCTGCTGAGTCCAGGGGTGCAGCCCATGCGAGGGGTAACCCCAAGAGAGGCTCTGCAAACCCCACAAAGGTCGCTGTGGGGGCTTCTGCTCAGCTCCTGGGTCAGAGCTGGTCAAATCTTCCAGGAGGGTTCAATGCCATCAGCAAATGGACACGGAGATGTCCGCCAGGATCGATATCCCCTCGGCAGGCACCGAGCCAGAGGAACTGAGCRAGTCGCTGCCTCTCCCATCCCGGGGGCAGGGCTGGGGGTTCATCCTGAGCCGGTTCCCACTCTGTTCTTGTGTTCATCCAGGGTGCTCCAGCATCTCCAGGGCTCCCAGCAGCCTTTCCCTGAAATCCAGAGCTCAGAGGATCCGTGCAGGCAGCTCTGGGTGCCCTCACCCCATGGCTGTCCCCTGGGCAGGCACAACTCTGGCCTCACAGAATCCCTGCTCCCGCTGCCCTGGCCCCCGGCCAGCTGGGAAGGTCACCGTGTCCACTGCTGAGGCCACCGAGCGCCATCCAGGAGACACAACTGCTTGCAATTTTCTTTTTTTTTTTTTAATATAGGAAAACTTGAAACCGCATCTTATGGACTGGACTTTCCGGCTCTGCTCTGCAAAAGGGCTTTGAATAATTTATGGCCGAGCCACCACCTCCTCCTTCCTCCTCATGGGTCACTCCTGTCAAAGAGATGGAGGTTCAGGAATCACACCCGGTCCTTTTCATTTGGGGGCTGCATCGCCAGCGCCTGCAATTGTCCTGGGTGTGGGTTTAATTCCCTCCTGGATAGCAGGGTGCGGAAAATAAATCTTTAATTCAAAGTGAAATATTAATAGAACTGTAATTAGCTGTAATATCTACACAATTAAAAAGCAGGAGRCCCGGCAAGAGCTATTTTTCATGTGTGTTTAAAGAAAAATAAGTTTGCAGGGTAAGGGGTGGGGGGTGGCTGGGGATGTTTTTTTCCGGTGTCCCAATTGTCTGAGGGAGAAATGTGGAGGAGCAGCAGCACAGGGACACGGGTCCTGCCACTGCTGCTGGCTCAGGAAGGAATAAAAGGACAGGTTGGAAGAAAAGAAAAGAGCAGAAGAAGGATTTGAGGAGCAAAAGGAGGAAAGAAAAGCCACAATGGCACTTTTGTGCTGCTCTTCTGGGATTTTGCCGCAAAGGGGAGATTTTCACTGACGTCAGGCAGGGACGAGCTGTAGCGAGAGGACGGGGATGGGAAAAGTCTCTGTGGAAGTTGGCAGGGTGTTCCAGGCTGGGAATGAGCGGGGTGACCCTGGCTCAGCCCCCACAGATATTTTCCAGCAGGAATTGCATGAGCTGCTTGCAAAGAGCCSTCAGCTCACCCCGCGTTGGGCAGTTACCAGACAGATAAGCAAAACCGCAAAATAAAACCGCAAAACTAAACCAACAGAACAATTCAGCTCGGTCCCTCCAAAAACACCGAAATTATAGGCCAAGGAGAAAGAAAGTAAAAAAAAAAAAACCTGGCCTTGGATTTCTTTCCAGAAGAAAGAGACTCCCACACACCCCCAGCACATGAACGTGGGTAAGAGATGTTGGATCTTTCGAGAGCAGGAACGGCACTGCCTGTGCTCGCATGGGCTTGACATTCACACATCGGGTCCGTGCCTCTCTCGAGGAGAGGGGATAATGGGATGCCGAATGTCAGACCACTTAAATATATATAAAACTCATTATACGCCTCATGACTAACAGCTCTTGATGGGAAAAGTTGCATTTTAAAGACATGCGGGGAAAGAAGAAGAAAAAAAAAAAAAAAAAAAAAAAAAAAAAAAAGCCCATCCGGGCATGCGGGGAGGAATTAGCAATGAACGAGGGATGATTCGGCTGCGGGCTGGCAGTGATAGCAACTCCTCCTCCTCCTCCTCGTGAGGAAGGCTCCTGTGGTTGTGCCAGCCCCCCTGGCTACCCTTCAACCTTCTTTGGGGGCTGCCAGGATCCCACCAGCAGCTTTCCCACAGCCCAAGGTCCTACTAGAAACCCACACCCCTCAGCTGAGGATGAAACCCCAGAGAAACCCCAGCTGGGACCAAGGAGCCGGCCCCGCCTCTCAGAGGCCACCAAGGGGGACATTCCCTGGGTTTGGGAGCTTTTCCTCCTCGGCAGCACGGAGGGGATGGATCCCACTGGGGAGCTGCTGCTTTCAGGCAATGCCTCTCTCTTGCCAAACCTCTTCCCGGGGTTTGTTCCGCTCTCCCGGGTGCATCCAGACTAAAAATTCCTCTCTGTATCTCGCTGCTGCTGTGACAGGAGGACAAAGGACCCGTGCCTGGCTGTTGGCACCCGTGGAGCC